AGACAGAGTCTTGCTCTGTCGCCCAGGCTGGAGTGCAATGGCTTGATCTCAGCTCACTGCAACCTCCGCTTCCTGGATTCAAGTGATTCTCCTGCCTCAGCCTCCTGAGAAGCTGGGATTACAGGCACCCACCACCACACCCGGCTAATTTTTTGTATTTTTAGTAGAGATGGGGTTTTGCCATGATGACCAGACTAGTTTCAAACTCCTGACCTCAGGTGATCCGCCCACCTCGGCCTCCCAAGATCACAAATCCTTTTAAAAAATGTATACACACATGCACACAGACACATGGACACACACCACACACAATGTGTGTGAGAAAATCGGACAGAAAAGAAACCAAAGCGTCAGCGGTGGGTGTTGGGATTACGGCACATTTTAAAAAGATCTTTAAAACACACACATAAATACACGTACATAAGATGTCAATCTGGGCAAGGCATAGTGGCTCACACCTGTAATCCCAGCACTTTGGTAGGCCGAGGTGGGTGGATCACTTGAGGTCAGGAGTTCGAGACCAGACTGGCTAACATGGTGAAACCTGTCTCTACTAAAATTACAAAAAAGTTAGGTGGGTGTGGTGGCGGGCACCTGTAGTCCCAGCTACTTGGGAGGCTGAGGCCCAAGAATTGCTTGCACCTGAGAGGCGGAGGTTGCAGTAAGCGGAGATCGCGCCACTGCACTCCATCCAGCCTGGGGAACAAGAGTGAAACTCCGTCTCAAGAGAAAATGTGAATCAAAAAAAATGTAATACAGAAAAATTAGAAAATACAGTCACAAAGAAAAGTAAAATCCCCCAATTGTGGATGAGTTATATTTTCTTCATTACACTCTTCAGTAATTGAAATATTTATTCTGTATCATGTAACTAGAAAAACTTTTATAATTAGAATGTTTTCAGAAAAAAAGAAAGATTATTTTTATTTATTTATTTAATTTTGGAGACAGCCTCTCACTCTGGAGAGCTGTGGCACAAAAATAGCCCACTGTAGCCTTGAACTCTGGGGTTAGAGGGAATCTCCCATGTCAGCCTCCTGAGTAGCTAAGACTACAGGTGTGCAGCACCATGCCTGTCTAAGTTTTAAGTTTTTTTGTAGAGATGGGGTCTTACTATGTTGACCAGGCTGGTCTTGAATGCCTGGCCTCAAGGAATCCTCCAACCTTGGCGTCCCACAGTGCTAGGATTACAGGCATGGACCCCTGCACCCAGCCGTTATTTTTAAAAAGAACATATATTGAAAAATATAGGCTGGGTGCAGTGGCTCATATCTGTAATCCCAGCACTTTGGGAGGCTGAGGAGGGCAGATATCACTTGAGGTCAGGGGTTCGAGACCAGCCTGGCCAACAAGGTCAAACCCTGTCTCTATTAAAAATACAAAAAAATTAGCTGGCAGTGGCCTGTGCCTATAATCCCAGCTACTCAGAGGCTGAGGCACAGGAATCACTTAAACCTGGGAGGCGGAGGTTGCAGTGAGCTGAGATCATGCCACTGCACTTCAGCCTGGGCAACAGAGGGAGACTGCGTCTCAAAAGAAAAGAAATGGTGGGTGATGCGTAGGAAGAAAAGAAAACAGTCCCTTTCAGGAGCTTGCACTTTGTGTTCAGCAGCAGCAGTATCTGTATCCAGCTGCACACTTGGTCCTTTCTAAGGAGAGTCTATCCAACTAGCCCTTCCTTCTCAAATGGAAATTCAAGTGGCTGGAATAACTAGGCGAGGCCTAATGAAACGAACATCCTGAAGATGGCTTAGGATCTCCCCTCGGCTGGTAGGGGAGGTCACGTGGAGGGACTGCTCCTGCAAGTTCTAGGGTCCCAGATGCAGCCCAGATGTGGCAGATGCTCCATGAATATCTGATGAGCTAATGGAGGAAGTGATGAAGTCTGTGGCTGTCCCCCAGAATGGGGCACACAGCAGACACCCACATGTGGACGAGCAGAGTAATGAGCATGGACACGGTGTCCCGCTGAGGGACTGCAAGGATCACTGGAAATCAGACATGGGCTTTGGACAACTGGATCCTCTTTTTTCAGGACAGCTACAGATACAGATAGAGCCGGATGATAAGTTCTTGCTGACATTCTCACCTCCTGGGCTTAGCTGCTTTGGTGGCAGATGCTCTAGGTTTTTTCCAGCCCAGCAGGGACAGGAAGAAAAGGGTTGGTAAGCCTTTATTTCCTGGCATCAGGGAGGAGTGCTGGGAATGCAGAGCTGCCTTAGGCAAATGTTTTTGCTTTTGTTTTTTGAGACGGAGTTTTGCTGTTTCACCCAGGTTTGAGTGAGGTGGTGCGATCTTGGCTGACTGCAACCTCCACACCCCAAGTTCAAGTGATTCTCCTGCCTCAGCCTCCTGAATAGCTAGGACTATAGCTTCCTGCCACCATGCCCAGCTAATTTTTCTATTTTTAGTAGAGACCAGGTTTCACCATGTTGGCCAGGCTGATCTCGAACCCCTGACCTCAGGTGAAACACCTGCCTCAGCCTCCCAAATTGCTAGGATTACAGGCGTGAGCCACTGCGCTTGGCCTGGGCAGATGTTTTTCACTGTTCCTCAGGGGTGATGCAGTTCACTCCCTGCATGAAGTGGGGAGCCAGGTAGGACCTGAAGGGGACAGACCAGGTGTGACAGCTTGCTTTCTTCCTCTAAATCAGGCTTCTCTGCCATGGGAAATGAAGGATTTCCTAAATGTTGAAGACATCTCTATTCCAATGAAAACATGAACAGCACATTTCCAAGGCAAGCAGAAAGTATGTGCTAATTGTCAGTTGCCATGGATTATTCATGATGACACCCTTTTCCATGTGAGAAGAGAAATGGCAGTTAACTGTTAAGGTGCAGGCAAGTATTGGAGTGATTTATCTGGGTCTGTAAGATCCATCCTTTGGGACAGGTTGTTCCTTCACCTTTTCCAGAAGGCTGGTGGCAGGAAGCATCCTTTATGGCCATCAAGCACAGAAGACAGGCTCAGGTGGAGACAGCCCTCCCTGCCAGTGATGCTGACCCTGTGGGGCTGGAACAGGAAGATAACTGCTTTTCTTAGGCTGGAAACAGATCCTTGCAAGGAGATTTAACTTGACCTTTGCAGCCAGTACTTGGCCTTCCTTAATTTAAGTCCTTCTACCAAATATTATAAAACTACCAAAGAAATAGAATATGTACCTCTTTCTTTCTTTGTTTCTTTCTTTTTCCTCTCTCTCTCTCTCTCGATCTAGAATACATGCTAGGCCTTATGGGAAAACCAAAGAAATAGAATATATACCTCTTCCTTCCTTCCTTCCTTCCTTCCTTCCTTCCTTCCTTCCTTTCTTCCTTTCTTTCTTTCTTTCTCACTTTTTCTTTCTTTTTAGATCTAGAATATATACCTTTTGAAAACCAAAGAAATAGAATATATACCTCTTTCTCGCTCTCTCTCTCTCTCTTTCTTTCTTTCTTTTCCTTCCTTTCCCTTCCTCCCTCCCTCCTTTCCTTCCTTTTCTTTCTTTCTCTCTTCTTAGATCTAGAATACATTCCCTTTGGCCTTGAGGAATTTATAATCTAGGTGGGGAGATGTTTTTAAGATATATTAAGGCTGGGCACGGTGGCTCACGCCTGTAATCCCAGCACTTTGGGAGGCCGAGGTGAGTGGATCACTTGAGGTTAGGAGTTCAAGATCAGCTTGGCCAACATGATGAAACCCCCATATCTACCAAAAAATATAAAAATTAGCTGGGCATGGTGGCACATGCCTGTAATCCCAGCTACATAGGAGGCTAAGGTGAAGAATCACTCAAACCGGAAGGTGGAGGTTGCAGTGAGCCGAGATTGCACCGCTGCACTCCAGCCTGGTGACAGAGTGAGACTCCATCTCAAAAAACAAAACAAAACAAAACAAAACAAGAGAGAGATATTAGATAACAAACCACAACTCAACTCAACATAAGAGATGTCATAATGCAGTATACAATTTGGTGTGAAATGGTTTAACCCACTGAGTGTTAAGGATGATCAGAGAGGAAGAAGCCTCAGGGATTGGGAAGGCTGGAGAAGCTTCTTCAAGGACGCATGATTAAAGTGGGCCTCAGAGGAAGGGCAGAGGTAAAAATGACCTAGCACAGTTGTTGGCAAATTTTGGCCTGTGGGCCACATCTGGCCCACCACCTGTTTTTGTACAAGCCATGACTTAAGAATAACTTTTACATTTTTAAATGGTTGGAAAAATAAATAATATTTCATGACAAGTGACAGTTATACAAAATTCAAATTTCAGCATCCAGGTCGGGCACAGTGGCTCATGCCTGTAATCCTAACACTTTGGGAGGCTGAGGTAGGCGAATCACTTAAGGTCAGGAGTTCGAGACCAGCCTGGCCAACATAGCGAAACCCAGTCTCTAAAAAAAAAACAAAAATTAGCTGGGCTGGTGGCATGTGCCTGTAATCCCAGGTAATTAGAAGGCTAAGGTGGGAGAATTGATTGAGTCTAGGAGTTTGAGGCTGCAGTGAGCCATGATTACACCACTGCACTATAGCCTGGGTAACAGAGCGACAACGCCCAGTCTTAATTAAAACAACAACAAAAACCCACAAATGGTAAATTACTTTAAAACTACGGCTCTACATCATGCCTTTCAGTCTTGTATCTTAGAGTTTGCTCTATGTTAGGACATTCTTAACAGTCGTATGAGGCGTATGGACCATCTTTTATTTACCCAGCTTGAAGAGGTTTCTGAGCCAGAAGCTAAATGGTATTTTGGGAAGCTTTATCTAGAATCTACAAAGAACTAAAACAGATTTACAAGAAAAAAACAAACAAACCCATTCAAAAGTGGGTGAAGGACATGAACAGACACTTTTCAAAAGAAGACATATATGAGGCCAACAAACATGAAAAAATGCTCATTGTCACTCGTCATTAGAGAAATGCAAATCAAAACCACATTGAGATATCATCTCACGCCAGTTAGAATGGCGATCATTAAAAAATCTGGAGACAACAGATGCTAGAGAGGATGTGGAGAAATAGAAACGCTTTTATACTGTTGGTGGGAGTGTAAATTAGTTCAACCATTGTGGAAGACAGTGTGGCGATTCCTCAAGGACCTAGAAATAGAAATTCCATTTGACCCAGCAATCTCATTACGGGGTATATACCCAAAGGATTATAAATCATTCTATTATAAAGACACATGCACACGTATGTTCATTTCAGCACTATTTATAATAGCAAACACCTGGAACCAACCGAAATGCCCATCAATGATAGACTGCACAAGGAAAATATGGCACATATACACCATGGGATACTATGCAGCCATAAAAAAAGATGAGTTTGTATTCTTTGTAGGGACATGGATGAATCTGGAAATCATCATTCTCAGCAAACTGACACAAGAACAGAAACTCAAATACCGCATGTTCTCACTCATAGGCGGGTGTTGAACAATGAGAACACATGGACACAGGGAGGGGAATATCACACACTGGGGTCTGTTGTGGGGGACTAAGGGGGGACAGCAGGAGGGTAGGGAGTTGGGGAGGTATAACATGGGGAGATACGCCAGATACAGGGGATGGAGGCAGCAAACCACATTGCCATGTGTGTACCTATGCAACAATACTTCATGATCTGCACATGTACCCTAGAACCTAAAGTGCAATAAAAAAAATATATGTGTGTGTATATATACATATGTATATAAATATATATATACATATACATATATATAAAAAAAAAAGGAAGCTTTTTTGAGCATAGAGGCTCCAAGAGAACTAGAGGCAGGAAGACCAGTCAGCTAATGATACACAAATCCAGGAGCCTGGCAGGGTGGGCAGGGGTGGCCTAGAATTCCAGTGCCAGTCAGAACTCCAGTGTGCTCAAGGCCACTGTGCTGGGGCCCCCTCTCCTGCCACCACTCCCAGGTGACTCTTACCTTGGTGGTTGTGTCAGGGATGGAAGAGGTGGGAGAAGCAGGAAAGTTCAAGACACACTTCTTCCCCAGGCAGCGACCATGTAACTCGATGTCCTCATAAGGGTTCTCCTTCATTGGCGGATCTGTGTTCAAAGGCAATGCGTCAGGAACCTGGGACACTGAGGACATTTTCCTTTTTGGAACACTGAGGTCAGCATCTTGGTCCCTCCTGTGTCTGTCCTTGTAGTGAGAGCTGCTGTTTTGCCATCCATGCGCCTCACCTCTTGTAGCAGTCCCTGATTTCACTGGGTTACCTCTCCATCTCCTCATTTGTGGCCACAGGAGATCAGCTCCACTTTCAGTTTCAGTGCTTTAGCTAGTCTAAGTATCCCAATAGCTGCCTCAGTGATCAGTTCAGGGGAGGGCTCTCATTCTAAGCCTAAGAAGATATCACAGTGTGGCACTCCTGGGCTCCAAAAGTGAACAAGGGGCTTCGACTGGTCTAGGGAGGGTGAACCTCAGGATCTCTGCTGGGACTTGCAGGAGAAAAGCTCTTCTCTCCACCAGGAAGATTTGGATTCCAGGGAGCTGGTGGCAGCCATTGTGGGGCCCTGGGAAGCCTGCTGAGAATAAAGCTAACTTGAGAGGTGAGAAACAGAGGAAGGAGGCTGTGTGCGGTGGCTCACACCTGTAATTTCAGGACTTTGAGAGGCTGAAGCTCAGGGTGGATCATCTGAGCCCAGGAGTTTGAGACTAGCCTGGGCAATGTGGCAAAATCCCGTTTCCACTTAAAAAAAACCCACAAAAATTAGCTGGGTGTGGTGACGGGTGCCTGTAATCCCAGCTACTCAGGAGGCTGAGGCAGTAGATTCACATGAACCTGGGAGGTGGAGGAAGCAGTGATCTGAGATTGTGATTCCTGTCTAAAAAAAAAGAAATAGAAGAAAGAAAAGCTGCCAGTTCTGGTCATACAAGCTGACGGTTTGGTTTTCTGTTCCTTATAACTGAAAGCATCCTCTTAGGCAGTCACTGCTGAAAGAAGTCCAGATCTCTCTCTCCCATTTTAGATCTGGGAATCCCGCTGCTTTGGCAGGAGCCCATCTCCAGTGTCCTGGACACAGGTACAATTCCAATTGCTTAGCTAAATATCTGCCCTTCCTGAAGTCTTCTATTTCCTCCTCCAGTGTTTTCTAGTATTGACGATTACATGCACACATGTCTATATATATCCACCATACCTGTCCCTCACCTGCACACACACATGGGTTTCTCCCTCTTATCAGCTTGTGTCTTCCCCTACTGCCACCATAAGCATGTTAGAAATGCCATGCTTACAGGCATGTAGTACATTCTATGTCCTTGTACTTTAAGATATCAGTGCTGGATGTGCTCACAGGCATGTCCCAGCTCTCCATTGCTTTCACCTGTTTAGAAAAGTTTTAAGTTGTTAGCCAATCAGGTTTTAGTTCAGATTATGAGGTCTGGCTGTAGCCAATGGAGATCAGACACAGCAGTAAGGATGACCCCAAATGCATAGGGTATAAATTTGTCTGTTTTCCTTTGTTCATTGTACTCTACTGGCATGATGGCTACTGAGAGTTACCCTTCCTGCAGTTCAGGAAGTAAAAATTGCATTGCTGAAAGATCCTTTGTCTCAGTGCTTATTTTTCTATGCAGCACTGAGCATCTATTTCCAACAAGCAGAGAGCAGTTGGAGCTGACACTTCACTAAAACCATCAACCTCCCTAAAGATGACTGAACTCACTAAACTCTGAATCTGAGGCCCACTCTGAAATCTCAGAGGATGCGTTAGAGCCAAAGGTACTTTTTAAATACCAGTCATGCATTTAGTCTGCATTCTGATGCCCTGTTAGTGCCACACTCTGACAGTTTCTGAAGGAGGCTCTGGCGTGTAGCGTTTTCTTTCATTCAGTAATCTCTGCAGACAACTGAGCATCCATCATAAGCCAGGTAGTTGACATACCATTCTCTCCAGTCCTTAACCTTGCAAGGGAGCTAGCAGCATCCTCATTACACAGATGGGAGAACTGACATTCAGAGATGGGAAGTCACCAGCTCAATGTCCTGCGACCAATAAGCAGCAGAGCCAAGACGTGGTTCTGGATCTTCAGATTCCAGATCCCACGCTTCTTGCTATGCCACTATGCCACACTGGCTCCTTGGCCACGCATCACCAGCCAGGCTTCCCCCTCCAGCCCCAGGGTCTCTCACACATCCCGTGAGGTGAAGCTCACTCTCCTACTCTCCCCCAGCCTGCTCTCTCATCTGAGTACACAGGCATCTTTGAGAGAGAGTGTGTGTGTGTCTGTGTGTGTGTGTGTGTGTGTGTGTGTGTGTGCACGTGTGTTTCCAGCAGTCAGCCCCATTTCCCCTCTCCTTTCTCCCAGACTCAGACCCACACACAGATGGTGTGGCCTCTTACCTAGAATGTCTTCATAGACGTTCTCCTCTGATAAAGTGCGTGTCAGCCCCAGCTTAGTCTGCGCATACCAGTCCACCCTACTGCTCTCGGAGGAAGACTGCAGTAAGTCTTCAAACTCATAGGACTTTCTGGGTTGTGCAAGATGGGAGGAAAAAACAAAGAATTTGAATCAAATTAGGCTGGTTCAGAGAATATATTAATATATCCCCTTGCCCAAATTTTCTTTTTCTTAGAAAAATTGTTACTGAAATCACCTTCTTTTCTTTTTTGAGACAGAGTCTTACTCAGTCGCCCAGGCTGGACTGCAGTGGTGCGAACTTGGCTCACCACAACCTCCGCTTCTTGGGTTCAAGGAATTCTTGTGACTCTACTCCCGAATACCTGGGACTACAGGCATGCACCAGCATGCCTGGCAAGTTTTTGTATTTTTTTTTTTTTTTTTTTTTGGAGACGGAGTTTCGCTCTTGTTACCCAGGCTGGAGTGCAATGGCGCGATCTCGGCTCACCGCAACCTCCACCTCCCGGGTTCAGGCAATTCTCCTGCCTCAGCCTCCTGAGTCGCTGGGATTACAGGCATGCGCCACCATGCCCAGCTAATTTTTTGTATTTTTAGTAGAGATGGGGTTTCACCATGTTGACCAGGATGGTCTCGATCTCTTGACCTCGTGATCCACCCGCCTCGGCCTCCCACAGTGCTGGGATTACAGGCTTGAGCCACCGCGCCCGGCCTAAGTTTTTGTATTTTTAATAGAGACAAAGTTTCACCATGTTGGCCAAGCTGGTCTTGAACTCCTGACCTCAGGTGGTCCACCTGCCCTGGCCTCCCAAAGTGCTGGGATTACGGGCATGCACCACCATACTTGACTAATTTTAGTAATTTAGTAGAGATGGGGTTTCACCATGTTAGCTAGGCTGGTCTTGAACTCTTGAGCTCAAGCGATCCACCCACCTCGGCCACCCAAAGTGCTGGGATGACAGGTGTGAGCCACTGTGCCCGGACATTCTAGCATTATTTCTATAGTCAGGGACAACAATCCTCCCCTTCTGAGGTTCAGGTAGATGATTAGGCCCCCTGAAGAGGAGAAATATGATCACACTAATCCTCCAGCCATTAAGCTAATTCTGTTCTCTACAAATATTTTTTGAACTTGAAAGTTTTAGTACCTTCATTTACACATTAACTTTGAGAAAAAGGAAACTGTGAAAAGTTCATGAATGATAACCACATCCAAATAGGCTTCTCTCTAATTTAAACATTGTCAACATTCATTCCACATCCCGCCTGCATGTTTAATAAGTAAACATTGTGCTTAAAGTGGGCAACGCAAAGGGAGAAGATCCTGCCTTTGGGGAGCCCACAGCCTGGGAAGGGCTGTAACCTCCACTCAGCCTGAGTTTACTTTCCAGGCCCTCCACGATCGTTTGATATTTGGTACTTCTGAGTTTCAGAGATGTTAGAATGAGCTGGTTTTTCCAAAGAACTTTGCTGAGGGGCAGGTAACCTATGTAATAGCCAAATTTCAACAGCCAATGCCAAACACTGTGATTTTGAGTCGTGTTTTGAATGTTCTTCACGACTTCTCCAAATTTTTATAAATGAAAGGCTAGCTGAGAGTTCCTCCCATTTGGACAATGCACAAGGATCTCAAAACTGAACTTGTCATCCTATTGCCTCTCACTGAGGAGAACCAGCTCCTCGCCCAGTGCTGCTATCCAAAGGTTTAGGTCTTAAACCTGGAAATCAGACTCCCGACCTCCCTCCCTCTTACCACCTACTTCCAACCACTTCACCCAAGTTTTACCTCCAAAGCATCCCTTGAACCCACCCACTTCTCTCAGTCCCCACGGCAGCTACACCACAGGGTAACCACAAGACCTTGCTGTTCCTCCCTGTCGCCTCTCCCCACCTGCCCACTGGTGCCCACCCAGTCTCCAGGCTGCTGCCAGGATGGTCTCTTAAACATGAAAATCTTTTTTGTCTTTCCCTGGGACAGAGTTTTGCTCTTGTTGCCCAGGCTGGAGTGCAATGGCCCAATCTTGGCTCACTGCAACCTCTGTCTCCTGGGTTCAAGCGATTCTCCTGCCTCAGCCTCCCAAGTAGCTGGGATTACAAGCGCCTGCCACCATGCCTGGCTAATTTTTTGTATATTTACTAGAGACCGGGTTTCACCATGTAGGCCAGGCTGGTCTCGAACTCTTGACCTCAGGTGATCCATCCCCCTCCTCAACCTCCCAAAGTGATGGGATTATAGGTGTGAGCCTTAAACATGCAAATCTGATACTCTCTCTCCCCTTCCTAAAAACGTTCCTGTTTTCCATTGCCCTTAGGTAATAAGCCCAAATCCATACCTTGTGTACAGGTCCAGAAGACCTTTGGGTCTCACCCCAGACCCTTCCTGGCCCCTTGGGCCACACTCCTGCCTTGCAGTTCCTCTGACAGGATGCAGTCTTTCCTGCCACAGGGCTTTCACCTATTTGTTCCCTCAAACTGAACACCCACGGCCAGGCTCATGCCTGTAAGGCCCGCACTTTGGGAGGCTGAGGCAGGCGGATCACAAGGTCAGGAGTTCGAGACCAGCCTGGCCAACTCGGTGAAGCTCCATCTCTATTAAAGATACAAAAAATTAGATGGGTGTGGTGGTGCATGCCTGTAATCCCAGCTACTCAGGAGGTGGAGGCAGGAGGGTCGCTTGAACCCAGGAGGCAGAGGTTGCAGTGAGCCAAGATCTTGACATTGCACCACAGCCTGGGTGACAGGGCAAGACTCTGTCTCAAAAAAACACAAAAACCAAAACTGAATACTCACTCCCCACCCTCCCATTAGCCTGAGCATCACTTCCTCTTGATCCCGCCTGGCTTCCATGATATGCTACACACCCCTGTTGAAAGTTCCCATGGCACCAGGATTCCTCACAGCACTGACAGCCGTTATGATCACTTAACCAGTTGTGTCCTTCTAACTATTACTATTCTGCAAATTCCGTGAGAACAGAGTCTCCCTCTATCTTGCTCATTACTACATTCCTATGTCTAACACTCAATAGGGGCACAGTAAATATTTCTTGGTTGAATAAGTGAGTGAATATTTTGTTTTATTTTTTTGAGATGGAGTCTCCCTCTGCGCCCAGGCTGGAGTGCAGTGGTGCGATCTTGGCTCACTGCAACTTCTACTTTTCAGGTTCCTGCGATTCTCCTGCCTCAGCCTCCCAAGTAGCTGGGATTACAGGCATGTGCCACCATGCCCAGCTAATTTTTGTTTTAGTAGAGACGGGGTTCCCCCATGTTGGACAGGCTGGTCTCAAACTCCTGACCTCAAGCAATCTGCCTGCCTCAGCCTCCCAAAGTGCTGGGATTACAGGCGTGAGCCACCGAGCCTGGCCCAGTGAATGAATATTTTAAAAGCTGGTTTTAAGTGCCACATTTACTGTTTATAATTTATCCCTACTTCAGGATTTTAAAAAAGCAGCTGTATTCTTGAGTTAATTTTTAGTAAATTGTTTTGAATCCATTTCCCCAAGTATCATTTTTTTTTTGAAAAATTATTACTTATTTGGTAAAAAAGCTTCTGAATTTAATAAAGAAAAACTGTGACATACAGTAATTCAAAATCTTTTCACTAAGCCCAAAAACAGGATAGTTCTCAATCTTTTAATCAAGAACCTCTTTGAAAGAATACCCAAAATCTAATCCATTTATTTAGGTTTTTAATCAAGAAATATAAAGCTGCCAACCAGAGTTTCTGATTACCACGAGATGATCAGGTTAACAACCTTGAGGTCATAGCATATGAGCTTTTCAAAGCTTTGTTTAATCTATACATCCTAACTGAGGGGATTTGTTGGTGTCAGGCTGGTAATCACAGATGCATTTGCCAGATACCATATACAAACACAACAAAAAGATAAAGACTATATGGTCCCTCTATGTGTAAGGGGAATAATGTCTAATTCTCATTAGCATCATTGAATTAGAGTAGGTAAAAATCCATAATTACAATTGTGAGGGGCAGAGAGACTGATACAAAGCTCTAA